CTCTCTCTCTCTCTCCCACCCCCACAAAAAGAAATACATGTACATAAATAAATTCGTCAGCTTAAAAGCGTCTTGGAGCCTGCACACCTCAGAGCACTTGTAAAGATACAGGTGACAAACTTGATCGGAACGCTTAGCTTTTCTTGTATGGCCTTATTATTTTGTCGAAGGATTATTTAGTAATCAATACCATGAATTAATATCTTAAATAAAAAAGAACTTCCTGGACTAGATATAGGAATTGTCTCGATATTCCACCTCTGTTGTCTCTACTCTTCACGAAGAAATGAACAGGTCACAATCAGTGTGAATGTTATCCGCATATTTGTTAGTGACAACACTTTTGTATTCAAAATCATGAATGACTTGCACAGTGACTGCAGAACTGACCAGTTTAGACACTACTTTTACAGAGACCATGCCATAGGCCGTCCATCTGAAAAATAAAATAGGTGTCAGAAAAACTTTTGATTCCCAGTGAGTTGGACTTGAAGAGGTTTCGAAACTGAGATGAACTCATTGACAGTTTCATGCATTTTTTATCTCGACGACTTGGCATACTATCAAAAGGCGCCTTTCCCGAGGCGAGAACCCCTTTCCTGCCTTACTGGCAGCAACCAGAAATAAGCCATCATCCCCCAAAGCACGTATGCCTCTATACAGCAGCCGCACTCAGACGTGCACTCGGTCCCATACGTGGAAACACCTGGACAATTGCTCATCTTGGTTTCGTTTGTTCGATAAAAGTTATACGGCGCTCGCCAAAGCATAAAGTCGCATGTGAGCGTGCTTACTTTTACTTTGCAAGGGAGACATTAAGTAATACAAGTTGCCTTGACGGCATCGAAATACACATGACTTTTTTTTTCTCAGGAAACTGTTGTTCGCATGTGCATTTTCATTTTAACGCGTGCCGGAACATTAACATTTGTCGGGGTTATGAATAATGTAGGATGAACGAGCCAGTTGTCGCGTACAGGCTCATCTAAATTGTAAAGAGAAGCTCACATGGCAGTGTTTATGTCTTCACAAATTCACGGCAACGGACGACAAGGAGACACACACCAGGGAACAGGTGAAAGTGATGGGTAGGACACTATCTAGCTATCTCTGGAGGTTCCGAAGTAGAGATTTCATCCCGACTCGCGGTATATATTATTGAAATCGTCCTTGCACTTTGCTAGTGAACTCTCAACAAGAAAGCTGATATGCATAATATCATACTTGTACAAAGTAACATTTTACAACACACTTTCCTTATTCTATTACTTATTGTTGCTGTTGAAATCAAAAGACGAGACATGGAGTTGGTCATTCCAAGGGCATAATTATTTTTTAAATTATTCATAAGTCTATCACAGCCCCTAAAATACAAGAAGAGACCAACTATATCATTGTTTGGGGTCAGGAGAATTTCGGCTCAGTGGACCCAAGAACTGCCTCACGGTCCTAGACACAAAAAAGCAAATCGAGAGCATTAAAATTTGTTTTTTCAATCTAGGACTTTTGCTAGTTTATTCGTCAGTACTACATATCCAAATATATGTCGGGCAGAAAAACAATCCCTAAAATGGTAATTTAACAGGTAAACGTTCAGTCCGTTTTACGGAAGGAAACACTTTTCAGGAGAAAGCGTCACCCATCGCACCCAATAACCACTTAACATCTAAATATAGCTTCATGAACAACATTCGATTTGGTCCAATTTACACACAGATCTGTATACCTGTCTCCATCTTTTACAGTCCCTCGTGTTATTTTACTAGTCCACTCACACTTCATTACCGGCAGCCACAAAGCTGTGAAGAATTATCACGCCTGCGTACAATGCCAAGACTGTAAACAATGGCCCCAAGCTTTCCGAGCTCACGGGCCAGATTCTGTGTCCGTAATGGACCTTAAGGAAATGGGCAAATAGTTTGATCAGATCGATAGCCCAAAACAAAGCAAGCATTAACTAGAGCGAGATTGTAATGAGGCATTATGTACCAAGTTGGCACGAACCAGACAAATAACTCAAGGTTCCTGCCTGGTGCCTTGATGTAAAGAGAACAATTCGTTTAGAGAAGGAAAAAGGAAATAGAAATAACATAACAAAATAATGCAGATGGAGGAAAAATCGAGGGCGAAGTGTGTGTGTGTGTGTGTGTGTGTGTGTGTGTGTGTGTGTGTGTGTGTGTGTGTGTGTGTGTGTGTGT